TTCTACAACCCAAGAGTGGTAGCCAAGGGAAGAGACTCCGCCATAAGCAGAATGGCAAAAATTATAGATGTTGGGGCAAAAAAGTTTGACAGCCTCCAACATCGAGTCTCTTCTCAAGGCATTGAAGGCATTTTTAAAGTCCAGTTTCAGAAACCCCCATTGATCGGGGAGGTCGGTGACCAATCTTCGAACCGCATGAACAGCGGCCTCAGCGCCACCCTTAATCCCGACACCCAACTGAGTCGGGTAGAACTTGGTCTTGAGTTCGAGCACGACCAGGGCCAAGGCACATTTGCCGGCCAACCTCCTCCAAACGTTCCCGACCGCAATCGGTCTGACCCCTCCGTCTTTCTTATTTAAAGCTATGTATGTATGTATGTATGTATGTATGTATGTATGTATGTATGTATGTATGTATGTATGTATGTATATATGTATGTATGTATGTATGTATGTATGTATGTATGTATGTATGTATGTATGTATGTTAAAACCAAATCATTGACGAATGACACCAAAAGCCAAGTGTCTGACTAAATTTGATTTTATTTGCTATAACGTCACTCAACCCCGTCGGCATTCAACTCCACATTTTCCAACACACAGACGCGCAAAATGCGCCAGGAATTTTGTGGGCGGACGTCGTGTCATCACCCAATCTGGACGAAGCGTTCACGTTGGTGAAGCGGCACAACAAACGTCCACGTTTGAACGTCTCATTGGAGGCCAACAGCAATGGGGGAACCACTTCAAACAACAACAACGGCGAAATCACTTCAAACAACAACAACGAAAACACGGCAAACATCAAGACAGCTAAAAAACCAACAAAAGTTATTGGCAAAAAAGTTGTTGAAGATTGTAAATTGAGGGCAGACAAAAATTTAATTAAAAAATCTGTGTTCTCAATGAGCAACATTAGTAAATGCCATCGAAGAGATGTTGTTGAATTTTTGACGTCAAATGGAATCAATGTCATCACATGTTATCCTGTTTTGAAAAAAACAGAAATATCGTCGGATAAAAATTTTGACAAAGATGACCAGGAATCAACAATGTTCAGAGTCTGCATCGATAGCTCAGATGTCGGTAAGATGAAGGATCCTGACATTATGTTGAAAAACATTATTGTGCGCGAATGGCGCTTCAATCAGACGAAACCTGATGCTAATACTCTGAATGGAAAGTAAAATTTTAAATAACCAATTTTTAAATAATGAAGAACAATTGTTACAAAATTCAATAATGTTTGACGATCCAAGGTCAGTCAATGCTAAATATCAATCTTTCATTTCTGACGTGAGTTATTCAATGCTAAACGTTATGCACTTGAATATAAGAAGTCTAATAAACAAAACTAACGAACTTTATGATTTCTTAATGAATTTTTCCTTCAAATTTAATGTCGTAGCAATAACAGAGACCTGGCTGAATAATGAACATGATGTTGAAATGGAGGGTTATCATTTTGTTGGAAAAATCGATGT